TCACAGGCTGACCTGTCCTCCATGTACCTGCAGTGGCTGGCACATAAGGCACGGGAAGATAAGGATCTTTTCAGTGAAGCTGCAACCCTTTGATAACCAACCTCCAAAGCCCCAGCCAGCACATGGGCCCAATCTTCCAAATCATAGTTGTGTGACTCACCCTAAAATAGCATAAATCCTATCATCCTGCACATCCTTCCATGGGGTGGGAGTGGTGGGAATAGAAACACAGGAGATCTCCTTCCCTGTGGATAATCAGCTACCAACAGGTAGCCAGGACTGTATGTACAACCCCAGGAGTGGCCCTGTCCCCAGGAGCAAGCCCTCCACTCTGCCTGCAGTTCTGAGGCAGATGCCCTGTTTGTGTAGCTTTGGGGCCCTTGGGAAGAGAGCTGCCATCCGAGGCTGCCAGACTCCATCCAGGGATTAGCCTGGGATGTGGGAGAGGATGGGCTTCCCTGGGACTGGGGTCTCCCTTCCCCTGAAAGCTCATAGATAAATGCCCTCATAGTTAGAGAGAATGTGAAGGGGGCTGCCTGTGAGGTTCAGGAGAGCAGGGTCAATTCCTTCTTTCCAGACACTCAACCCTCACGGCAGGGGTTGCCTTAGAAAACTCCAGTGCTGGCCTCGCTCCTGGCAGGAAGCTGCCCTTAGTTGGGCACCAAATCTTTTCCTTTTTCTTGGTCCAGGAGGGGTTGCCTTACCTCATAGAAGGCTGCCCAGAATGTAGTGCCCAGAATGAGCTCTTAAAGGAAAAGGATTCTGCAGGGAATGTTTCTCAGACTCTCTACCCTAATGGGGGAATTTATCTAAATACACTTGTAACGGGATACAGTTTCCTCCAAGCAGGTGCCCTTGGCCATCTTCCTGAGAACTGGGGTGGGGGGTATTAGGAAATAAAGCAGGGACACTGTCTTGGGCTTTATGTTGGACATTAGAGCTTTGCAGGTTTCCATGGATACTGACAACAAACCTCGTTTGGTCTAATGAGAAATCTCTCACTAAAAACGGTAGGATTTGCTTTTGACAAATATATGTTAAAATCATCCCTTTATTCCAGTGATTTTCAATTGGTGTGCTGTGGGACATGGTGTGCGGTGAGAGGATCTTAGGTGTGCTATAAAAATTTTTAAAGTGGGTGGCACCTGTGGCTCAGTGAGTAGGGTGCCAGCCCCATATACCGAGGGTGGCCAGGCATTGTGGCGGGCGCCTGTAGTCCCAGGTACTTGGGAGGCTGAGGCAAGAGAATCACCTAAGCCCAGGAGCTGGAGGTTGCTGTGAGCTGTGACACCATGGCACTCTACCAAGGGCAATAAAGTGAGACTCTGTCTCTCTTAAAAAAATTAAAAAAGATTTTTTAAAGATCATTAATTATTTTCAAAAGAAGCTTGAAAGCCCAGTAAGTATCTTCTTATTTTTTACTTTTTTTCATCAACATAATTTAAGTGTGCCGCGGGAGTTTAACTACAGGTTTAAGTATGCTATGAGACACAAAAGGTTAAAAAACACTGCCCTATTCTTACATTGTAAAGACATCCACTTGTAGATAATTTAAAAACCTGTGGCAATTAAGTGTGGGCTTTTACCCTATAGCAGTTCTCAACCTGTGGGTTGTGATCCCTTGGGGGTCTCCTGCATATCAGATATTTACATTACGATTCATAACAGTAGCAAAATTACAGTTATGAAGTAGCAATGAAAGTAATTTTATGGTGAGAGGTTACCACAACATGAGGAACTGTATTAAAAGGTCACGGCATTAGGAAGGTTGAGAACTACTGCGATGAAGTGACCCAGTCTCTTCAGCAGAAATAACTCCAAATTGAAGCCTCCGCTAGATAAAACAGCTTTCAGGGCACCAATCTCCAGGTGAGGGCAAGCCCTCTCTCTACAAGGAGCCACGTCCTTTGGGTGGCTTGGGGTGAGCAGAAAGAGGGCCTCGTCACACGAGACCAGTATTACCTGACTGCCTCGAGCTTCACCACGCTAAACACATTTACCCACCTTCCTTAAAACCAGCGAAAGTGATGGCCATCAAGCTGTGATCTCACACTTCCTACAATGTCCCACATCAGGCCAGATGCCAAGCTCAAAGCTTGTAGCTGCTCTCTCTGGCCATCAGTTGTCCCTCTAGCTCTGTCCAGAGCTCCCTATTGTTTTGAACCATGTCTCCTGTCTCCAACCAAAAACCCTTGGCAGCTCCCATTTTTGTATTTTCCAGCTGTCACCTACTTAGGGAGAAACTCCAATCTTAGTGTCCTCTGGGGCCAAGGCAGCTGCTGTCCTGTGGGATGGAGCCTTTTTTGCAGGTGGTATTCTCCAGAGAGTGCAATGCAGCCTCCTGGCTAGTTAAGAGGGGTAGATTCTGCGGGGTTCAGCCAACTCAGTCTTCTCTTGGTCAGGGGCTTGGTGGAGACTCTTTCCCCATTTCTCACATCTGTGCTTTCCCTGGATCCTTTCAAATGTCATAATGGTACGGTTCCCACATACACGCGTGCAAAACCAACAAAGGGCAAAAAGCCCACCACAGCCTGAATGCTGAAGTCGGGGTGCAGGAGGAGGGTTGGGAGAGGCAAAAGAAGTCTGGGCCTGCACCCCACTCACTCCCAGGTCTGTGCACCTGGTGCCTGGGGACCCTGAAGTTGCTGGAAGCCCTCAGATCAGGAAGCTTTGGGACATGAGATATTCAAGGTCCTCAGTAACCAAGTCCCAAGTGTGAAGAGCAGTGGCTCCAGAGTCCCCCGTGCCAGAGTGCCTTCCCAGGGCTGCCTCAGTGGATTATAAACAAGGCACTAGAGCTGTGTGTAATTTATAAAATATCCTTTATTTATTCTAAGGAACACAGTCAAGTAGTAGTTTAAAAAAAAAAACCAAAACCAACACACTTTTTGAAAGGTTATTATTAGTGTTGTGACCTGTCTTTGAGCCCCATGTGAGGGATGGTGGCTTTGTGAATTCTCTGCAGTCACTGGCAGGGGGTTGGTGGCAAAGAGGGAAGCTTTGGCACAGCTCTGCCCACTTGCTTATAAACAAGAATAGTTTTGAGGATTATAAAGAGCAGAAATAACACTTATACTGCTGGTATTTGACAAAAGAATCCTTATAAATATATTCATTCCAGGAAGTGTAGAAATCCTTCAAAGGAATGGATCAATTGCATTTCCTGTTTATGGAGACTTGGTCTCTTAAAGTTACAGCATTACAGATGGGCGCGGTGGCTCATGCCTGTAATCCTAGCACTCTGGGAGGCTGAAAAGTGGGTGGGTTACATGAGTTCAGGAGTTCGAGACCAGCCTGAGCAACAGCAAGACCCCTTCTCTAAAAATAGCTGGGCATTGTGGCGGGCACCGGTAGTCTCAGCTACTTGGGAGGCTGAGGCAAGAGAATTGCTTGAGCCAAGTTTGAGGTTGCTGTGAGCTATGATGCCAAGCACTCTACCCAGGGAGACAGAACGAGACTCTGTCTCCCCCCGACCAAAAAAACAAAAAAAGAAAGAAAAAGAGAAAAGAATTATAGCATTAGTATGGCAGCATACTATTTCCCTACAAATTCAGAAATCCAAGTTGATATAAAATGATACATCCTGATTTTACTTAACTAGTAAAGAAATAAATAGGGTAACATTTAATCAGGTAGGTAGAGTTACTCTTTTCCCCCCTCCTTTCTTTTTTAGAATGGTGATTTATTTAATCAAAAATACAGTTTGCTTGAGAATGTTAGAGCATCTCCACCAATCCAGTAAATAACCATGCTGACTATGATACCGGCAAAATTCATACACACAGGCAGCACTGAGCTGTTTGCACAAGACTTCCTTTCTAATAAACACAATACTTTCTCCTCCTCTCAGATGTGAGCCGTGGATGCCAAAATTCGAATGTGCCAACTGCAGGCGCTTTGCTAAGCAGGAGAAGCCTAGCAAGTTTGTCCAGCAAATTAGAGTGTGTGGTGGGAAGGCGTCTGCTCTGCAGCCTCAGACAGGAGGCAGCTGGTCTGTGCGCCTGTCCTCCGAGGCAGGCTGAGGCTGGTGGCCCTTAGGGAGCAGGTAAAAAGGTCCTCATGAGTTAGGACATAAGGGCTTTGAGGGAAAACACAAAAAGGCTCATTAAAATTGGAGGCGTGGTGGCTCATACCTGTAATCCTAGCACTCTGAGAGGCCAAGGCTTGAGCTCAGGGGTTCGAGACCAGGCTGGGCAAGAGTGTAACCCCTGTCTCTGCTAAAAATAGAGAAATTAGCCAGGTGCTATGGCGGGTGCCTATAGTCCCAGCTACTTGGGAGGCTGAGGCAAGAGGATTGCTTGAGCTCAAGAGTTTCAGGTTGCTGTGAGCTGTGACGCTATGGCACTCTACCCAGGATGACAGCTTGAGGCTCTGTCTCAAAAAAAACAAAAACAAAAAATAAAATAAAATAAAATTGGAGGTCAATATGAATTCACTAAAACTTCCTCCATGGAAAAGGACATGTTGAGATCCTATTCTGAGTTTTGGTGATCTGTGGTTCTCATTCTGGGTGCCCATCTCTGTCCCCTTGGCTGGGTGCGCCACGTCCTGCCATACTGCTACATGGGGCTCTAATGAGGACGTCACCCCCAACCAAAAGACAGTGAGAGAGAGAAAATCCCAAACATTTTAAGACTGGGTTCGAAAGCCCCTGGACATTTTCTGTCCACCGTCCCCTGCTTCACATCTGGTTTGGGGGCTGTGAATCAGAATTCAGAATCTGTGCTGCCCAGAGGGGACAGACGCAGCAAGGAAAATCCTAAATGCAATAAATAACACCAATCTCAGGACCCGGCTTGGCCCCTGCCCCTCCCCCAACTACCAGTGCTGGTTATTCCTTATTTGAACTGAAAGAGCCGGGGAAAGAATTCCACCCCCAAAATTCAAGTGCGGGGAAACCGGCTACTGCTCTGCACAGGACGGAGCCTCAGTCTTTTGCTTTATAGCATTGTTTATGGCATGAACTAGGAGTGGAATGTGTCCACACAAACACACGACAATTATACATCAGCATCTTTACAATATTAAAGGAGTCATATACAAGTCTACAGGCATTGTACATGGGGTGGAGAAGGCTGGGGGCCCACCCCCCAGCTCCGCAGGGGTTCCCCACTCAGGAAGGGCCAGCACATGGGGAAGTGTGACAAGGCCAGGGAGGGTCTGTCTTTGGGCCTGTCATCTGGGGACGCAGCAGGTCTGTGAGGACCCCTCAGGCAGTCCTCACTGGGAGTTGGGTCACGAGGGCCAGGTATGCCTGTGTCTGGGTCTTACTGGCAGGCTAGTGAGAGAGGTGTAATTAAAATTCAGTGAGCAGATTAGCATGAGAAAACTGGAGCTGGGAATAGCTCCCTGAGCTGGGGATGCTGCTGACAGATGGGCCCCTTCCTGGTGGAGCCCATTCCTGAGGTAAGGTGTGGCCCCGTAGCTGGTCCTACAGGGAGGAATGCCTCTCCAGGAGCCCAGGTGTGAGGACAGGCAGACAAGACTGGAAGCCGCTGGGCATGAGTAGGTCACGTGACCTGCCAAGAGCAGCCTGAGCCCCAGACAGCAGCAACGGGAGGATCTCAGATGGTCACAGAGCCTCCCAGCTCCCTAAGTGCTCCTGCTGGCACCCTTGCTCCCGGGGGCCCTATTTTGGTTCCTACAGCAATCACTCCTGCATCTGCCCCGAGAGCCCCAGCTCTGTGTGTGCCTGGACAAGAGCGCCACGCAGCCCATCCACCGCATGGGCGTGCCGCACATCTGACTGAGAACTGAGCACCAGATAAAGAAGCACTGGTCTTTGTTGGCCTCCCTGACCTATGCAGTTAATGCTTCCATTTTAAATACTATAGAAAAATAAGCCATCTCTGATGTAGGAGACCCACCAGAACCTGCCATGCGTGGAGAAGGATGAACAGCTTCACTCGAGTAGCTGCGGACGCCTCTGCTGACCCTACCTCAGCAGGCCCCTGCAGCCTTGGAGGGGGCAGGACCAGGCTGTGGGGCTGGGAGAGCCGGCAACGGAGTTCCCACTGCAGCATCTTTGGGTCACGTCAACTGTCCTTCGCTGGGCATGCCTCCAGCATCCCACATTCTGTTGGCACGATGCCGGGGCCCTGGTGCTCCCTGGGCTACTCTGGACCCTCCAGCTCCACCCACAGTCTCATGCCCACTGCTGAGCACGCACAGGCACAACTCCCCAGGGCTGTTTCCAGGTCCCTGGGGTGTCCCAGGTGGGCACTGAGGCAGGGCCTAGTCCAGGGGCTCCTGCTTTATCCGGACAGCAGTGGGAGTGGGCTGCGGCCGCCGCTCCTCCCGGCAGAGCACGTACTCGCTGAACTGGGAGGAGTCCACGCCCCCCCCACAGGAGGCAGCCACACTGAAGCCCCTCTGGAATAGCCTCTCCAGGACCTGTTAGGGAAGAAACAGGGGTCAGCGATGCCCAGCTGCAATGCTGTACCTGGCTCAGCCCGGCAGGCAGGCAGGCAGGTAGGTGCCAGTCGTGTAAGTCTCCTCCTCCTTCCTACTCACTGACAAACGTCCCCACAGAACCACCTGTCCTGTTCCACTACAGGAGGGCCATGAAATTACCACAGCTTCAGGGGCCCACCCCACCTTGGCTATGACCGTGCTGCATGGGGGATGCATAGCTTTGATTCTTGGAGGGAGAATCAAAGCCTTTGGGTCTCTTCTCGAGGGTGTAGCCTGCCCCTTCTCTCCACACAGTGGTTCTCAGGCATTCCCTCCCTGAGTGCTGCCTCAGTAATGGAGAATGCCTGGCCCTCAGCCGCTGGGCATCCTCCTGCTTCCCTGAGCTGTGGGTCCCAGATGGCTTGAGGCCTGGGGCACAGCAGCTCTGGGGAGGAGGAGTCAGTCCTCTCAGCATCAGAGTTTGCAGGCCTCCATGGGCTTGTGCTTCTGCGAGGATGGGGTCTGGTCACTGTGTCTGACATCTGTGTCCTGCAACTAACAACTGCAACTAACAAATTCTGTGCAACGTGTGCTTGGAGAAAACTTTTCACCACAAAATCCATTCTGGCCTAACCCCAAAGTATGAGAGTGGGTATGGGAAGAGCTGGTGGAAAACAGATTCCACTCCCTGGAGGGTTCCCAGTTCTAAGACCTATCCAGGAAAGGCCAGTCTAGAACCCCCTGGGCAGCCAGCAGGCACCTATCTCCCAGGACAACAGTGGGGTGGAGAGGGCCCTAGTCCACCTTTCCTCTAGGCCTGTCTTGCCTCCATTGCTGCCTGGGTTTAATTTGAATCCAAAGTCAGACTCTATATGTCCAACAAAGCATGCTTAGTTGAAAATACTCTGGGCCATTTTTTACAGAACATCTTTTTTAGGGGGAAAAAAAAAAGTACAGATCAATTTTTTTAAGTCCATCCCCCAGGCACCATCATTTAATTATGAGAGGGACATAAATTATGCATCGACATATTGTTGCCTTTTTTGTAAGATGGCACGAAGGGCTTTGCCATTCCAGGGACAGGGCCTCCCTCCACCTCGCGAAGGGGCCCGGGGCTCCTGGGAGGCAGCGCACGGCCCTCACCTGCACGGAGTTGAGCCGGCAGTAGCCATTCAGCGGGAAGCGGATGACGTGCGTGGGGTCCTGGTTCCAGCCGGCATTCACCGAGTTGCACATGACGTCCCCGGTCTCGGGGAAGACCTCCTCGATGAGGGCCTTCTCGCCACTGAGCGCGATGCGCTCACCCAGGTCTGGTGTCACGCGCACCACCAGGCAGTCACACGCGCGGCTGCGGCGCCGCTGCTCCTGTTCCTGCTGCCAGCGCTCCAGCTCCCGCACCATGGGCTGCAGCTGGTAGTACCGCGCCTCCTCGTATAGCAGGCTGAAGTCCTGCAGACAGGCGCGTGCCGGGGTAAGGGGAGGCTGGGCTCCCTCTCCTACCAATTCTGTGTCCTGGGGCGCGTAGTGGGCCTAGATGCTCAGCCCCACTGCGTAGATGCAGCCAAGAGAGCGTGCAGATGAGCGCTCTAGCCTCAGCCCCAGGGCACAGCAGGAGATGTGCACCATTCCAGACCCCTTGAGCCCTTCACCTGGCCCTGGGTACTGGGGCAGAGACAAGCCTATGGAAAGACCTGTTATACCTATGCCTGGGGACCTGTCCTCTTCTGAGAATCTCACAGGAGGAGAGACAACGTAGGGCGCAAGGGGCAGCCTGCACCACTCACTCACCCTGGCAGAGCTCACAGCCCAGCTAGGAGGTGAATAAGTTCTCCAGCCAGACCTGCCCCAGGTGGATTTTCAGCTTCATCATCTACCAGCCCTGAGACCTCTGAATCTCAGTTAATGATCTCTTGAGTCTCAGTTTCCTCATCTATAAAATGGATGTAAACATCCAGCTCAGAGAAGGGGAGTGGAGATTAAAGGACAGGAGGCCTGCCAAGGGCCTGGCTGAGCTGCTGTCCAAGCAGGTGGGGAGTGCGGTGAGGTACTGAGGTATCCCAGGAGCCTAAGCTCAGGCTGGGCAGGCTCACGCTAACCGTCGGTCAGGCCCTGACGTTGGCCCCACGCTCCAGGCCACAGGTGCACGTGACACAAGCTCACCCACACCCACCTCAGCCCCGAGCGGCTGAGGTCTCATGACTCACGCCACGCTGGGGATCAGCAAGCAAGTCTGGCGGGTCTCCGGGGGAAGACAAGGAAGCCCTGCCTGCTGGCCTGGCCTTTGGAGATGCCCTGGGGGAGGCCCAAGTTGTAACCCCTCCTCTGGGGCTGTCACCAGTCAGGGAGCCATCCTGCCCCTCTGCTCCTGAGGTTTTATAAATGACACCTGCACACTGAACTCCATTTTTTCTCATTGCGCAGAATGTTTCCACCAGATGCCCCACCAGCTCTCCCACACAGAAGTGGGTGCCACCCTTCCACAGCTGGGTCTCCCACTCATGGATTCAGGACTCATGCCAACAGGCACCCCCAGGAGCTCCATTATTCTGCCGGCCCACACCCACGTACTCTTACAGTCTCTTCTGAAATGTCAGTGTGATCTGCCGCCTCGCTCTATCTTCCTGGCCTCCATCCCTCCTGGTCCAAGCCTCCAGCAGACCTCCCTGGGTCTGGGGAAGGGCCTTATTCCCAGCTGCCCTCCTGCACCTTCTCCACACAATGGCCAGTGTGCTCTTCCCAGCTTGCAAATCTCATTGTCCTTCCCCCATGCACCCTTGCACTGCATTCACAGTAAAATGCCAAATGGAGAGCTGCCCACCAAGGTCCTGACTCCCAGAGGCAGTTCCCCTTCCTGCCCTTTCCCTCCCAGGCCCAAGCTTGACACCTTCCCTCTAGTTCTGGAATGTATCGAGTCCTCCATCCCTCCCCAAACTCCTTCCCCACCCAGGTAAACACCAGTTTCTCCCAAACACACCCAGGCCCTGGTCCCCACTGTTCACTCTCACAGAATTCTCTGCTTCCCTGAAGCATCTGCCACATGGACTTCAAGTTCAACACCTGTCTGACCAGCAGAGACTATTAAGCATCATGGGACAGGCCCTGCCTACATCTGCCTTGTACTTCACTGTATTTTCAGCCCACGTTCAGTTGCTGGGTCTCAGTAACTGAGTTAGCTGAAGGACAAAAGAGCCCCAGGGGTCCTGGTCCTCCAGGTAGCTGTAAGAAGGAAGGAAGGACAGACATTTGCCAGCTCGAGCCAGTGTGGCCCCAACTTGAATTTCCTTCCACCCAGGCTCCCCGGTTCAGAGAGCTCAGCACGCTGAGGCAGGACCCAGAGCACCGGGTCACCTACCTTGACAGCCTGAGACCTGGGGACTGACGGAATGACATGACCTTTTGTTTAAGGCTATCTGTTCAGACCATCAGGGTTTGTCCCCTGCCAATTCCCAAGGAAGAACAGAGTTAGGAACCTCTAATTCCAGCACACAACAGTCCTTAAACACAACAAACGTTAAACTGGGGTAAGTGCCGAAGCTTAATTGTTGTTACACCCTGATAAATAAGCTAAAAATGTGAGAAAACAAAATTAGTTTAGAAAAACTGATTTAGCCTTCGGCGCCATCGTTTAACTTTTTATGGTTGCCATGACAACCGTGGGTCCATTTATTAAGTCACAGCGTCCCCTGTGTAATGCCACCGCACGGGCAGCGTAGTGGAGCCACCAGCTGCGGACTTACCTTGAAGTCATCTGGGAGCAGCAGTTTTGACGTCCGCAGGAAGCTCAGGACGTAGCGGAAAATCTCCCCATCCCGGTCGATGAAATAATGTTGCTTCAAACTGTCCAGGACAATGGGCTCAGTGCCATTGAAGAGGCGGCTTATTCTGGGAGAGACAGGCAAGGTGGGAACTCTGAGGGAAGGGGGCAAACTCTAGCCACCCACTTCCTCACTCCTTAGGACCCACCCTGCTGGAGGGGCAAGGGACCTCATTGTGGGTGACTCAGCGACCGTCAGGCCTGACAATGTCTACACACACCTGGGGCGGCCAGGTCACACTCAGACAGGACAGGCCACACACCTATGCTCACAAGCGACAGCCAGAGGACACGCCCAGCTGTACACTTCAGCTGGCCCACAACGTGTTACAGGCCTGGAAAACTGTAGCAAGACAGACACAGCCACCTTGCCGCCCACTACACAAAAAGTCACAGACCTGGTGCATACACCCTCACCGGAGAGAGCCACCTAGAAAATGCACATGGGGCGGCGCCTGTGGCTCAGTGAGTAGGGTGCTGGCCCCGTATGCCGAGGGTGGCGGGTTCAAATCTGACCCCGGCTGAACTACAACCAAAAAATAGCTGGGCACTGTGGTGGGCGCCTGTAGTTCCAGCTACTCGGGAGGCTGAGGTAAGAGAATCGCTTAAGCCCAGGAGTTGGAGGTTGCTGTGAGCTGTGACACCACGACACTCTACCAAGATCGATAAAGTGACTCTGTCTCTACAAAAAAAGAAAAGAAAATGCACGTGGCCCATCCAATACAGCCCTCGGTAACACACGCCGTCCTCGCCCACCCAGGTAAATGAGCATCATAGGCAACACAGCTGGGCAGCAAGTCCAGGCTCACACGGACCCTTCCCTCCCCACACATAAACCTCAGGCAGACCTAGACACATCTAAAGGGCACACACCTGCCAGCACAAGGTACCCAGAGACACAGTCATCATCACCCCACAGCCACTTGTTCTGGGAGCTGTAGGGGAGAGTCATAGGCAGGCAGCAGGGACAGCACGTGTGCCACAATGCACACAGCACCTGAATGTGTGCACACACCACGGTATGTACATATACATACAGGCATATGCACACACACTGTGCACACATGGTGCCACGGCATGTGCACACCTGGGGGCCGATGGGGAGAGAAGATGGGTGCTGTCTTCTGAAAGACAAAGCAGAACCTTCAGGAAGGTCTTGGGGAGCCCCTGATACTTGTCTCTGTCCACTCCAGGAAGAAAGCAGGCCTTGGAGCCAGGGTGGGTGACTCCCAATGTCCAGGTGGCAGGCGCTGGGTTGGCTAACGGTCCCGGCAGACCCCAGGCTGAGCCATGGATACTCAGTCCCAAAGAAGGTTGGGGGCAGCCAAGAGCTTGGGTTGGGAACAGAACAGGGGTTGGCAGCATCTCCCCAACGTCAGCACCATCAGAATCAGACATCTTTATCAGGTGGGGCCACTATTTGTACCCAGCTAGTCCCTGCCAAGGTGGCAGCTTGTCTGCAAAGCTGGAAGGAGGGTAGCCCTTACCTGGGACCCAGGTCTTCCAGCCTCACCTGCACACAAGCCAGTGCCTAAGCCCCCTCACTCCTTACCTACACCAGCAAGGGCCCCTCCAGGGATGCTACTCTGTCCCTAGGACAGCCTACTCCCCTGCCCACTGGAGTTGATTGCTTCTGAGACACTGCCCTTTGTGACCAGCTAACCTAGGATGAGTTAGCTGAGCAGAAGCTTGGGGGATTAGAGCTCCTAGAGCCCTTCTCAATACCTCCCATCCGTACCATCCTATGCTTTGGTGGCCTGACACACTCTCGTTGGCCATGAGGGTCACCCCAGGTATGGAGGAGCCATACAGTCACCTGTTCTCACTCTGTGGATACACCCCAGTCCCTGTACCAGTGGATCAGTACAGAGAGCAAGGCTGCCTTTTGGATGGGTGTGCACAGGTCAGAGCCACAGGCCTGTGGAAGCAGAGCAGCAGCCACCAGGACATAACTCGTCTCAGGGTTCCAAAGGCTACTGGGCTCTACCAACCTCAACCCCCACTGCTGGCACAGTGACAATGCTACTGGGGACACAGCCCATACTGGAAAGCCTTGTGGGTTCCATGGCTGGTTCCAGCTTTTGAAGCCCCCAGGACTTGGCCTAGTAGAGCTTGACATTCAGGCACCAGAGTGAGAGCCACCCAGCACCTCTGGGGACAGACAGAGCCAGGCTGCCAGGTGCCATGGGCAGTGGTCAGCAGACAGTCAAGCACCCACTTGTGGCACCAGCAGGAAGAGCCATGTCCATGGGTGAGTCAACAAATCCAAAGCCTCAGCCTTTCTGGGAACAGCCCCATTTTTCCCAGAGATCAAATCCTGTGCAGAGAGCAACATGCCAGTCCTGGCAGAGTCCATGTCCCTGGCCGGCAGGGCTGGTGGAGGCTCTAACCCACCCTGTTGGTCTAGAAGACTCCTGACCCACCCACATGCTAGGGCTGGATGGGTTTTAGGTTGTCTTCTGGTCCAAGGCCAGAAGATTCTCGATCAGCCTTACATCAGGGCTGGGTAGTTCTAGATCTTTCACGGCTCAGTGTCTGTTCCAGGATCAATGGACAGCTGTGCAGCCCCTTCCAGGACAAAGGTCTTTCATGGCCCTCAGTGTCCAAGGCTGCCAAGAACATGAGCGGGATGAGGGCTGATTAGGACATCTGCCAAGAAGGAACCCCCAGCCACGTGCGGAGTGCTAAGAGTGAGCTCATGTCAGGACCTCCTGGGTTCCTGCCATCCCTGGCTCCACTCAGCCCAGAGGAAACCAGCCACCCTCTGAGGGAGGCTGCAGTGGGTTTGTAGAGCCAACTTCAGAAGTCCTCCATGGAGTAAGCCGGCTAGTTCCTACTTAGTTCAGCAGCTGGGGCCCTCAGGGACAGAAAGGTGTGATCCAGCTACCTGCCTTGTGTGCCCACGGGAAGGCATCAGGCTAGTCTTCATCTTTTTTTTTCTTTTTCCTAGTTTTTAAGCTCTGGCTCTAATTTCCTGGATACCTGGTGAAAGGTTATATTAGTTCTGAAGCTGTTGGCCATCTTCATTTCTTGCTTCCCACAGATAAGATGAACATCAGAGCATGACTGTGATGGCAGTGGCCCCAGTGGACAGGACGCAAGCAGAGGGCTGCCCCAGGGAGTCCACTCTTGACCCCAGAAACTGTGCTCAGCTGTCTCTAGCTGAGGACCAGAGGAGGCACCTAAGCCATGCTGACCTGCAAGGAACCAGAAGCCCCAGGCACAGATCAGAGGGCAGAGGGAGCCAGGGGTGAGTCCCCTTGCTCTCACCCTGCTGCCCAGGGCAGGACACTGTTGACATCCAGTAATGCCCTGGGGACCTCAGCACACTTAATTTTCCATCTCAGGGTGACTCACAGATCAGTGACATAGGGCAAGGGTTCGATTCTCTTTTCTAGAATTGGTGGAAAACAATTTTAAAACTGTAATAATCCACTAAAACAATTATGGGATAAATTTGGGAAGAGGGCCTCTTCTCAGCCCCCTCACCCCCAGCCCCTGTACCCAGAGCATTCTATAGCTCACACTGCCCCTGGCCTCGAGGCCAACGTTTCAGGCCTGGGGAGCAGCTTTACCACAGCCAGAACCACCCAGGCAGAAAAAAGATTCTTCTTGAGCCTCAGCCTTGGGGAGGATACAGACTGCCACCCCCCTGGGCACACCCTGCCTCAAAGGTCCCACATGCCAGATCACAGTGCCATTGAGGCCTCACCTCCCCCATGAGAAGTCAACCCCCACCCCACAGCAACAGGGCAATGGCCCTGGGAGGGGAAGACCACCACCTGCTCTCCTGCCCCAAGGAGGGCTCCCTCAGTCCCCCCAGGGCCGGGGCTGTGATTACTCTAGAAAGGTAAATGTCGGCTCGGCGCCTATAGCTCAACCGGCTAAGGTGCCAGCCACGTACACCTAAGGTGGCAGGTTCGAATCCCCAGCCCGGACCTGCCAAACAACAATGACGGCTGCAACCAAAAAATAGCCGGGCGTTGTGGCGGGCGCCTGTGGTCCCAGCTACTTGGGAGGCAGAGGCAGGAGACTCGCTTGAGCCCAGGAGTTGGAGGTTGCTGTGAGCTATAATGCCATAGCACTCTACCCAGGGGGACAGCTTGAGGCTCTGTCTCAAAAAAAAAAAAAAAAAAAAGAAAGGTAAATGTCTGAATACTAGAAACACTCTTCAGAGAGAGGTCTGTGGGCAAAGGTTTTATGAATTTCACTCACAAGCGTCGTTAACCAATTAAGGGATGATCTATCTCAAACAACGTGGGAATGCCGCAGAAGGCGAAATTGAAATTAAATAAGCAGAATCCATCTCCCATCTTAGACAAGGCTCTGAAAGCAAGCATGCAGGCCCATGCTGCTGACCTGGTCTCGCAGCTCCTGGCCCCTCCAAAGCCCCAAGTTCAGAGGCCCAGGCCTAGTCTGTTGGGCTGAGGGAACGGAAACCCCAACCACAATCTGCAGCCCAGACTCCCCAAATCTGGAACCACACACATTGCATCCACCGCTGGTACTACCTGCTCAAGGGAGCATTCCTGCCCCTGTGGAGGGCTCCGCCCCTGCCCTCAACAGGCCCTGAAAACACCTCCATTCACTATAATCCTCCCTGCTCTGAGCAACCATACAGGGGACAAGGCAGCCTGACACGATCCCTCGGTGTCTGGGGGATTAATTAACTCCTCCTGTTATTTCACCCGTATACAGCAGGGGTGATGCCTGCAGCCCCGGCTCTCCCATGCTTAGCCCTTGGCGGTCCCAGAGAGTGTGTGGCTGCCTCATCATGCCAAGAGCAAGCAGTTGTGGCTCGGCCAGCTGCTCAAGGATGCCAGCAGCTCAGGTCAGGGAAACCAGGTCCCCCACCCAGGAGGAAAACACCCAAGAGGCTGGAGTGGGAGAGTCTTGAATAGGCACAGAGTCAGGTCAGCCGGCAGCTGGGGGGCTCCCTACTGGGAGAAGCCTACAAGCCCCCAACCAGGGTCCTTATCCACTGATGGGATATGAGGCTCTTGCTCGGCCACAGCCTTGTATATCCTAAATTTCTTGGAATTCCTGCCAGCCACTGACTGCAACACCCAGCTTCCAGAGAAGCCTGCTGCCAGCCCTTAGGGCCTGACAGTGGCCACATAAACAAAGATGGCAATTTGGAGCTCCTTCTCTCTCCCCTTATGCACCTTCCCAAGGTTAGACTAGGAAATAGGATTAAACGTCTGACTCCCATGTCATGACCTCAAGACTTACCTACTTAGCATGACTCACAAGTGACCTCCCCCCACCGCAGAGGCCAGGCCTGAGTTGCACTCTAGAGGACCTTGAAGGTCCGGGAGATGCCTTGGCCAGCAGATGACCAGGTGGGGCTAGCTCTGAATGAGTCCTAAGCCTCTGCCAGTGAGTCAAGCTGCACCTTGCACAGCCAATGTCTCCAGATCAGGGTCTTAAGGCAGCCTTCAACAGGTGGCCCCAGCCTCCCAAGCCCTACATTCCCAAATCTATACCAGCCCAGACACCCCAGAGAGCCAGATATGGGGGGCTGGCAGGGGAGACCCGCCTCTGGGTAGCTGCCCTCCTCACTACATGCCTGCTGCTTCTAGGGGCTCGGGTCTTACCTGGAGTCAGGGTACTTGGTGAGCGTGGCCAGGCTGCTGGTGTACATGTGTCCGCCCACGTCGATGTGTACAGGCGCGTTGGACTTGGTGAGCTGAGCTGGCAATGGGATCCCCTGGGCAGCCAGGGGAGACACGGGTGACCGGGTGAGAGACAGCCGGGACATGTTTCCTCCCTCCTAGAGACAGAAGCAAGGCAGAAAACCAGAGTTTCCCTACGACCCAGCCGTGTGTTCCCTTTATTGGCAGTGTGATCACAGATCTAATCAGATCACTTCTGCCTGTGCCTGATCACATATTCAGCTGACAAATTATGGCCACCACTGTAATTAAGTGTATTTGCATCATTTTCTTCAAAGTACCAGAGGGAAAAAGAAAGATGCTTATTAGCAATAAGAAATCAAGACCAAAAAAAAAAATTTTTTTTTTTTCAAGGTGTCAGCCTCCGGGGGCATAAAACAAACTGCAAAATTCTAATTAAAGGTCGTAGGCTTATGTGTTAGATGTGAAATATCCCCTGACAAACGAATCACCAATTTGTGAATTGGGATTCAGGGGTTTTTGCAAGTTTGTCTCAGTAACAAGACACCTCTAAATTAGTGACTTCCTCAGCACCTAAGGCGTTGAGTTTTATACATGTAGTAAATTTCACATCAAATTAAGAGCATTTTTGTTTCAAAAAATACATAGTCGTGTACAGCCAGTCAACAGCCATCTCTTGAGTGCCGTGGCTCCGAGGAAGGGCAGCCGCAGGCAGCAGGCACTCAGGAAGAAGGTGAAGAAGGGGCCGCCAGCATTGATCCAGCCCACCCGGCAGGCTCACCGCGGTGCCGGGGCTGCCGTGTGCGTGAAGCGAGGACCCACTCGGCCGCTCCTTGCGGTGAGGCATCTAGGCTTCCATCGCTGCCCAGAGTATCTGTGGGAAGCACCAACAACAGGAGAGAGGGCTTACTCCTCAGCAGCTATGGGCACGGGGTCTCCCATGGAGCAAAAGATGCTTAGACTCAGCCTTTCTGCACACTCTCTAGGACCCCACGGGCTCCATGCAGCCCTCCCAGATTCTACCCACCACCAGCATCTGTCTCCACACCCCAAAGCAGGTCTCCTGGCCATAGCAGATCTCACATACACACATGCGTTTTCTGGGCAGCCCCATGTCTGCTAATTCAGCTAATGACAGTACTGAAACATATGCTCATCATTATTGCCCCGAAATGTTTCAGAACAAATCTGATTTTCCTGGTATTTTGGTTTAGAGCCATGTTACCAAGCGTGTCTCCTCTTGCATCAGCAGAGAACCTTGTGGACCAGAGGCTCGGGAAGGATCCCCCACCCCTCAATGGGCTGGGGAGCCTGGGACTTTTCTTAACACTGTCCCTATGGTGTTACAGATGCAGTTTGCAATGGGCTGGACACAGAGAAACCCTTCAGCAGAAGTCAGGGCACAGGGACAAGGGCAAAGTCACTTGGGAGGCCACCTCTCCCCATGACTCCCAAGACCAGAGAAAACCTGTCTTTGTCTGTTTAGTCTGCACCCCAGGGCTTCTCCCCTCCTGGTGAAGAGTAGTGTAGTCTGTGCCTAATATATTCCAGACCCCTCAGGATCACACGCTCTAGGGCGTCAAAGAGCTGGCCAGAAGGAACAGCCAGCCAGCCGATTAGCAAATGCAGCCTTTCTTCTGCTCCTCCACTTTCCTCACTGACTTCCCTGTGCTACAACCACCTGAAAGAAGATTGTGGTTCAGTCCCTGGAAGCCATCCCTGGGGCACTGTGCAGGCTCTTATACAGGAGTGGAGAAGGGAAGATCTCTGCAGCCCCTTCCACTGACTCCAGGCTGTCTCCAAGGGAGATTTGCACAGTTAAGCATTACAACTCACAAATGCGTGGGCATGCACACACGCGCGCCCGTGCACACACACACCCTGCACTTCTCCCTCATAGGCTTAACCTTTGATAGAACAACCAAATGAGCTTCTTGGGACCCAAGGGACTGCTTTCTCCTGTTAACTCTGGCATCTAAATTTGTGCCTTGCAATTCAATCTTAAAACAGGAGGCAAGGTCCAATGAGAATCAAATCCTGCAAATTTAGGTAAGGTTACTCTGCTGTAATTTGTTCTGCCCCGAGTGTCCTGGCAACTTTCCTGCCATGAAACTGTTTGCAGTGGGGGTGGGGGTTGGATGAGAGGTTGCCATTAGCAAACAGTGACGTCTAATCTATACCCGGAGTGGGGGCTAGCTGCTCCAGGGTCCCGTGCTTTTGGCATTCCTGAGTTCCAGAAAGCTTAAAGAAAGAAAACCAGGTCACTTTGCTCAAGGAAGTTCTGAGAACCAAAACAGACCTCAGGAATGGATTATCATCGGGCCCTAGGAGGCTCTGCTGGGGGAGGAGTCAGAAGGGAGGACCCTCGGAGGGCAAGCTGAACGGAAACGAATCCCGACTGAAATTCTAAAGCTGGCTGCACAAGGTTCTCCCCCACAGCCGAACACTGTCCAAAAGTGACATTTAACATCAAGCAGCCCCCACAAACGCCGCTCAGACTCTTTTCCCTGGCAAACCAGAAACTCACCATTGGAAGCCCCAGGCTTTGCGCCTTCCACTGAATCTCCAGTGCTCCCTCCAACAAACGCATCTGTGCCGGACCACGACCTTTCCCCCGAGACCACTGCTGAGGTCAGAAGCACAAGAGTGGGTGCGATCAGAGACACAAGTTCATTCCACGGACACGAGCATCAATCTCACCGCCCAGCCCCTCCAGAGGCTCGGCCGAAACGCCTGTTGCAGACGGCCCTCGGGTTTCTAAACTGGCCTGGTGGCGACCCGCTTCTCTAGCTGTGGCGGGAGGCCCGGGTCCCGCGCCCACCCACCCGCCGCCGAGCCCCGCCCGCCCGAGCAGAGAGAAGTGAGCAGAATGCCACGCTCATTTACACACAAAATGATTTTGTGTCCCATTGTGCTCGCAGTTGTTCGGCTCTCTGGGGGTGATTAAACTGGCTGAGCTGCGGCAGCTTGAGACGATTTCACTAAATCGCTTCTTGGTGAAGTCGCTTCTTTGCTAAGCTGTTATTTTAACCATAAAAGGTAAACAGAAGGCGCCTCTCGAGCTCCCTTCAGCTCTGCGCCCTCGGCGCCGGCCCCAGGCGAAAGTGCCGGGAGCCTGCGAAGTGTCCTGGGGGTGGGCCGCGAGCGGCAAGCCGGCCACCTGGTGCGCGCCAGCCCCCCGCAGCCAAGCCAGCCGGCCAGTTTGAACTTTGGGGCGGCGGAAGCCGGCTGGGCCGATGCTCCAGGCGCCGTGGGGCGGGGTGACCGCGGCGCTCGAAGCGCCTGGCAGCGCGGGGAGGGATGAGCGGCGGGGGCGGGGCGGGGACAAAGTTAAATCAAGAGGCAGACACTTGGAGACCACAGATGGGAAGCTCGCCTAATTAAGGACGTAAAAGCGCTTTTGTTCTCAAAGTTTATTGTTGCTGGGTTTTAAAAAAATTAATTGAAACTAATGCTGTTATTCACTCGTGCAGTTAAATTCCTTCATACACATTTTGAGACACGGAGGGAAAACTTGAAGCTTATCTTTCTGCAGTCGGGGGTGGGGGCCGAAGGAAGCAGACAGGCGCTGCGGCGGCGAGGGCTTGCCAAGAGCTGGGGGTGTCGGCGAGTATATGCCGCGGTCAGCGGGTGCGGGTGGGCTGCAGGGGCCTTAAGGCGGCTATCGGGTCGCAGAGCGGCCCGTTCCTGGACCCAAGCCCCGCGCGCATAGGGACCACCACCGGCGCGCTGGCCCCTCCCGTCCGGCTTCGGACTCGCAAGGGTGGGCGTCAAGAGGACGCACATCCGTCCCGTTGGAGACTTTTCTTTCTCCGATTTGGGCGCCAAGCTGGGCCCTGTGCGCCCCTGAGCCGGAGCTGCGGGAACCGGTTTCTGACCCCGGAAACTCGCTGGCTCTGCAGGACGCTCGGCCCTGTACTGGGTCCAGAGGGAGGGAACCTGCATACACACTTACACGCGCACACACACACACACCCTGCGGCAGGAAGCTCTGAGCCCGCCCGCGTGGGGAGGGTCCACCCGCGGCCAGGACCAGCCCACGTGGGCAGCCCCCCCGCACCAGGCCTTTGTGCTGGGCGCCCCCGCGCCGCCAGTCCCCGCCGCCCAGCAGAGGGACAAAGCAGCCGCCCCCGCCCAGGTCCGGACCCTGGCCGGGCGACTTTCTCGGTATCTCAGCCACTTTGGGGACAAGGGTGCACGGCGCTCAGCGGTGGCCGCCCGCGCTGGGCTTACCTCGGAGCCGGAGAGGCGGATCGGGCTCCGGCGAAGCCCCCGCCCCCCGCAGCCGCCGCGCAGGCGCGCCGGGCGCAGCCTCGCCGCCTATGCTCGCTGCGCGGGTCGCTCCGGTGTCGTCCTGGAGTTACTTTCTCTC